TGTGGAACAGCTGCAACAAGAAATCCTAGATGATGCCTCTTTATGGGATTTACAAAGTAGGCTGGTGAAAGCTTTGAAGACTCCTCTTGAACACCAAAGATTGATGAAAGATCAATTCCTGAGATGCCCCTGGAATAATTTAAAGGTTAAGATTCTGAAGAGCAAAAAGAAGGAATATAAAGTTGGACTATTTGATCAGGGATAAATTATTTGTTTGGTATTTCTGGTAACTTTTTTGCTGAAGCAAGACTGAAACGATGACGATTTCTGGATTGTGTATAAATAAAAGTTGGGCTGTGGGGGGGAAGAGGTTTTTTATTTGTAACTTTAAAAGAGGGTGAAAAGTTATTACATTACCTTATGCTTGGCGTGACGAAGGTTGGAAGCCACTTCTTCATTATTGTTTTTGTTGCCTTTTTCTTTTCTCTTCTACTCTTTTCCTTTTCTTTTTTTCTCCACCTTCTGAACTCTTCTTTTTTTCTCTTTCTTCTAGTTTAGTTTGTATTAGTTTGTATTATGTTTATTAAAAACTTAAATAAAAATGTACGGACTCTTTTCACTGTTGTTTCCCCTTATGTCTGTTGTTCCTATCTTTCTCCAGAGCCCGTCCAGTGATCAACATCCTAAACAAGACTTTTACTGTTACTCCAAACCCTCTGGACCCAGCCAAATGTACTCAGAATTCTTGGTAATAACATCCCTCTAAATTTTCTCTTTGTTTTTTTTTATTCTGGGGTGCATACATGCCTTAATGCATGGGCATTCAAGAAGGTGTGTGACAGCACAAATATGATACAACTGGCTATATTTAGCCTACAGAAAGGAAGATAAAAGGGAAATGCGTTGCCAACTTTCAGTTTATTTAAGAGGATGTTGGAAAGAATTGGGAGAACAATTGTTTGCCCTCCCCACCAAGTGCAAGGAGGAGGAACAAGAGTGTTTATACAAGATGTAGTGAGATTCAAGTTAAATTTGAATGAGAAAAACATCTGGCAGTCAGAGTAGAAGGAGCAAGCTGTATGGTGACGCTGCTGAGTCTTTTTCCTTGCTGGATTTTTTAAGAATAAAAGTTGCACAAGAGACTTGTAGAGTTGCTTTTAGAACAGGGTATCCTGTCCTATAGAAGAGAGACGGCTTGATAAGAAGCAAGTTATTTCAGGCTTAAGCTAGCTGGAGAAATTGAAACCCTCCAGATGTGGTTAGTTTCCATCATCCAATAGCTCTATCCAGCATGCCATTAGTTTGAGAGCTGGAATCTCTCAACATTTGGAAGTGTTAGTCATTTGTAACTTCTAAACTGGGACTTAGTTTAAGGGTGACTGGGTTTGTTAATATTGATTTTGTCAGCATCTTTTTTTCCCAACTTTAAATTCATTTTGGTTCCTTTCTGCATTAGTTAGCAATTTTTCCTCAAAAATGCCTTTGCAAAAATGGCATATATAAAATCATACCCAACTTATTGGTCAACCTTTGTGCCCTGAACACACTTCTTAGCTTTTCTTAAGTCAGCTGCTAAGAATATATGAGGTAGCACTGAATCAAAGTGAAAACAGACCGATAGGGGTGTGAAAACAGGGACAAAAGGGGCATCTACCTCTCTAAGGTGGATTGTCACAGCATTATTTGCACATGACCCTCCCTTCTTGAGTTAATTATAGTTATTTACTTAAATTAGCCTTTCCTAGCCTGGAACTGCCCAGAGCAGGATGTCTCAACCTCAGCAACTTTAAGATGTGTAGACTTCAACTCCCAGAATTCCCCAGCCAGCGCTGGTGGCTGGTGACTCGGAATTCTGGGAATCAAAGTCTCAGTACATCTCCTGGGCACCAAGTTGGGAAAGGCTCCTTTGTATACTGCCAACTGTGTAAATAAATAAGACGAAAGAGTCCCTTGACCAAAATAGACAGAATCACGTCCTCTGGGAATTTTCTGATTCAAACAGACGAGAGAGGGGGAGATCTTCCTTTTGCATGAAAAAGCAAGTTTTTCCTCTTCTCTTAGCAAGAACTGATTTTTCAAAGAAAGCTTTGGGCCTCTGAAATATCACTCCTTGCCGCAAACGAACAGGGTAATCCCCCCAAAAGTTTGGCACTGGTTAATTACCAGATACAGAACAGCCTAATATAAGTCAAGTGCTGCTGCCATGCCAAGACTGGAGCTCCCTGGGTTGGACAGTGTGACTTTAAACATAGGTTGGTGTGCTTCTCTTTAAGAAATGAAGCATTCTGCATTTGGGTTTTGTTTGTTTGGAATTACCTGTCACTGTGGATTCCTTCCCATCATGTTTGTAAACCTTACTGAGCACATTGGTTTTTCTTTCTTTCTCCTTTCCCTCCTTGTCTTCTCATTAACAGCATGAAGGTACAGCTCTGCTTCTCCTATACCCTAAGTGCTGGAGACCCCAAATACAAGGAAGCTGTCAGTGAGTAGAAGTGGGAAGATTTGCTCCATTTGGGAAAATCTGTGTGTAAAGAGAGAGAGTTGGGGGACTCACTCATCGCCAAATTTTCCTGGCCCTGGAATTTTTGTCCTTAACAGATGAGAGCTGGTTGTGGCTCTCCCGGTATCTTACTTGGTGTACTGTTTGTTTATGCCTGCGTTCCCTGGATTCAAATTAAGTATGAGATTACATACCAGTCTTGTACAGGTAGTCCTCACTTACCAACCGCAACTGGGACTGGCAACTCCATTGCTAAGCGGCACGGTTAAGTGAAATGTCACGTGACTGCACCAATTTATGATGCAGTTCCAGCTGTGGTCATTAAACAAATCACCGTGGATCATTAAGCATGGCATCATATGACAATGACTTGTGACTTCCTGCTGGATTCCCCATTGACTTTGCTTGTCAAGTGCCCGAATCGCAATCATGAGACTGTGGGTATACTGTGATGCCCGCAACTTGGAGGATCAGTCATAAGTCTTGTTTTTCAGCGCCACCGTAACTTCAAACGGCCGCTGAACAAGTTGCCAGAAAAAAAGCATTACCTATAAAACATTTCAGTTTTTCTTAGAACTCATCAACTTTGTAGTGTTGTTCCAGAACTTCATTTGAACCAGAGGGTCTAGGCTGCTGGATCTTGGCTGCTGGATCTTGATAATGTGTCTGATCCATTTTTCTCTTTCCTCTTGGCTTCAGAGCTGGATTACATAGTGGAAGCTGACCAGGGCCGCCGACCACCTCGCGTATATTTTGCTGAGACCAATTCTGCAGTCTACAAGGGACAGTTTTCCATGCCAAGCAAGTGCCAAACCCTGGAAGTCCTTCTACAGGTTAGGAGTAGTCAATTCAACTCATAAAATGAGATAGCTGAGAGGGAGCCAAATACCATCTTGCCTGCAATATTTTTTTAGTTTATTCTTATCCCGTCCTCTTTCTCCTAAAGACTTTAGGGTCATTTATGTTTGGTTGTTTATATTTATGTAGTGCAGGACCAGCAGTACAGTTTTTTTTTAACGTAAATTGATACTACCAAGGATTGCTAAGCATAGGCCAGTGATGTGATCACATTTTTATAAATGATAAGAACAGAATTTTTGCCATGTTTCTGCCTATAGGGAGGGTTGGGGAGGTTTTCTAAAATAGATAAATATATGTGTGTGTGAAGCAGTTATTTTGCATGGATTCCTGGATGTAGAATAGCTAACATTGGCTGAAATTCTGGATTGTTGTATTCCCAATATACTTGGAGGGCACCGGCCTGACAAAAGGCTTCTCTAACCATAGTATCACTTGTACTGATAGAGAGTACTGGCAGGATAATTTAGTATGATAAGCCTCCTTATATTTCAACAAAGGAGTACCAAGAACAGAGAAGAAGCTTCCATCAGAATATAATATGACAATGAAGGATCAGTATGACCTGGAGGCAAGAATGAAGAGGATGTTCTCCTTCATGTCCCTTCGTAAGGTACATGGAGATTCAGAACTGAGTTTAGGGCTCTCTGAAATAAATTGTTGCTCATCCCACAGGATGATGTGCGAGACAAGCTGCACCCCATTGCCTTCTCTATGAAGTATTCTCTTGCAGAGAAGCCTAGGCGATTCCAGTTGGGACCACGCTCTCTTAATGGATTTCCTGTTTTGAATGAGGATCAGCCTCGTGAAAACCACACTGAGGTTAGTTTTTCCTTCTCTTTAGTTCTTCCTCCCATTCTCTTCATCTTTCCCCTCCTCAGTTGAAACAATAATGCTGCATCTTTCAACTAGTAGTGGGTGGCAGGCTTTTGCAAACAAGCAAACAGGTGATGTGTTTATGGGAGGAGTTTGTGTGCGTGTCTCTGCACTTACCCATGCAGATGCAAATTATTTGTAAGTAGGCATCTTAAGTTTCCTGTATCATTTAATGGTTCACCAACCAAGCGGTCCTCTGGCACCATCTGGTGGAACAGATTAGTCATCATTATTGTTAAGATTTAGAATACATTTCATTCCAGAAAAAGTTTTTCACATACCTCGAGCTAGGTTGAAGTGAACCTATGTTGATATCTGTGTTTGGGAGATGTGTACAGATATAGTGTGATAATTTCAGCATCAGTTCCCCTGTTTTATCATCTTAGTGTAATACTTTCAGGTGACCCAATCAAGTTTAGGGAGTTACATCTTTGGATACTGGTGGAGATCCATCCACCTGCAGGAACAGAAGCAACCCTTGAAAGTCCTAGGCTTGGCTGTTGCTTCTCTTTGCTGCCATCTCCTGGACAAGCAAGAACTGAATAGATTGAATCAAGAAGAAGGATATACATGAAAGGATGTTGGAGACAATGACTATAAAGAAGCAGACTCACTGAGAGGAGAGATCATAAACAATGCCCATGAACTCAGCAGCCTGTGAGGCCTCTCCATCTGACTCGCAGTCTCTTTTCCTTGTATTGCAATAAACAGACTTTTAAAAGCCTTCTTTGGTACTGAGGGAAGCTCTCCCAAAAGTCTGATTGAGGGGTGGGTGGGTGAGTGGGTGGGGAAGCATTTTTAGATGTTCACAGTTGGGAAGAACAAAGAGCTGATTCTGTCTTCCCTGTGCGTCATGTTCCCCTTGGAAGCCCCGTCTACAAAAGTAGTTTTTCAAAGAAAGCTGCGCTTAGCATCAGTGGCAGCTTTCTTAGAGCATAGTTAATGTACAGAGAGATGATCATTGTGGCTGCATTGTAGTGAAGGAATAACCTTCCCAACATACAGAGCCCTTCTTCTAGAAGTCTGTCTTCCTATCCTGATGCACTCCAGTTCGCCTCTTAAAACAGTTTCCTTTGGCCATGCTTGTTGAAGGGGACATGAGTTGCAGTCCAAGGCTTCTGGAGAGCACCAGCTCAGGGAAAGGTATCATAAACAATGGAGCCTACAAACTATATGAACACCCTTCCCCCTGTTGTTGACTCAAAATGTCTGTTTTCAGATTCAGTTTCAGAAGGAGTGTGGAACTGACAACCAGTGCAAGAGCAACTTGCAGATCCAGGCGTTCTTTCTAAATGAAAAAAACCAAAAGCTGCCCAGGTGAGAGAACTTGGCTTATTGAGAGAAGGGTGGGCTGGCGAGGAGAAAGAATATGTGAAATAACTGTAATCATCGTAACACAGAGTTGCGCTAAATGTATGTTTAAATGAGAGTGAGGAAATGCTGGCTTTGGAAATAATCATACATTTGGGCTGAGTTCTGTCTGCTCCTGAATGCTCTTTGCGTCGTCGTCATCATCACTAAAGAAAGTCTCTTTCCTGTGAACTTCCTTCCAGGGTAATAAATAGCTCCTGGATGGTGTAAGTGCTGACTTTTAGAAAGTCACTGGGTGATCGCCCAGGCAGATGACCTGCCCTAGAACCCTTCTAGTGGCTCACATAGATAGGTGGGGTTTCATCACCCGAGAATAAGAACATTGCACAGCTCTAGAAGCATTTCAGCAGAAATTGTCTCTCAGCTAGGGACAGGAGCACATAGTTTACAAGTTCCCACTTCTTCTCTAATGCAGGATAAGCCAGTTGGTCCCCTCCAGGTGTTTTGGATGATAGTTTCCAGGAACCCCCATTGTTGCCTGGAAATTATGAGGTTTATTGTCCTAAATCTTTGGGGAGTGCCAAGTTGCCCATGGATGTCCTAGCCACTCCTGACCATAGTTAAGGACTGAGTGGGTGGTCACCTGTGCTTTCTTGATTGTTCTCCCTCAACTGTACTATTCTTTTCCATTGTAGACAAGATGGTGTGCAGGTCTTACAGTACAGCTGGGAAGTCAAGAAAGTGAACTTGAGCATCAGTGTCACTAATAAACCAACATCACCTTTCAATGGAGAGGATGCTCATGAGGCCCTCCTCAATATCACTTTCTCACCCTATCTGCTGCCTTCTTCAGTTCGGCCGGTGAGATATTTTTTGAAAGCTGGGATAAGGTTAGGTTACTCTTCCACATAGCTCAGTACTCAGTGACTTTTCAGAAATCCCAGGAAAATTTACAAGTTCCAATAGGAGAGACTATATGTAGCCCAGGGTTTAACTGTGGAGTCCTTGATGCTCTCTGACACAAATCTACAGGTGTTGTGTCTAGTGATATTTTTCTTTGTTAATTCCTGGGCAGAACCATTGCTAATAGATCAGAAAATACTGTATGAGTTGCTGCCTAGAATAGTAGTCTTCAAGACTCATAATCTCCAGCTGTTATGCAGATGATGCCAGTGAGGGAGAAAAGAGAAACTTTGCCATCAGTGCAGGATTGGGAGACTAAAATGAAAAATACGTAGCCGTGGAAGAATTATTAACTGTATATATTCATAGCAGATGTCTAGCCAAATTCAAGCAGGAATGGTTCCCTTATATACAATATATTACATAGCGAGGCAAGCTAAGACACTCTGAATATGGCTTTTGAAGAAAAAGGGAAACTGTTTTTTAAAAAAAATCAAAATGATCCTAACAGAAATGAGCAATAATTGTAGATATCCAAAGTATAGTGTAAAAATATTGAAGTAGCAATTAGCAGCTGGGGGGGGGGGGAAGAGGGGGGGAACTAAATAAAATGCTTTTTCTTACTATGTTTTTTCTTTATATTTTTGCTTGTTTTGTCTTTTTAAAACTGTTTCTAAAAAAATCTTTTTATGACCATCATTTTCATTTCAACCTTTACCCTTGGTTAAAGTTCAAGTTACGCACGTGTACATGTTCTTTTCCTTTTTTCTTTCCTTTTCCTTTTTTATTGGTTGGTTTACTTAATTAAAAAAAGTAAAAAAAAATGTGAGCGAAATATTTTTTTTCATGAAATAAATTGAATCGGGGGGATGTTGGGGCTATACCTGAATTCTTGCAGGCCATATGTAGACCCTGGGTTGTGCTTAAAAACATATTTTTGTTCATGGTTGCTTAAGAACCAATTCATCTCTAGTGAAACTGCAAATGAAGAGGGCATGGTAGGCCACAAAACATTCTTCCGGAAGCTACATGTGGGCTCACGAGTTGCCAAGTCCCACTTAATTAACTCAATAATTACACACAGGTAAAATAAGGCAGTAGCTAGCAAGAGAATGAAGAGTGTCTTTTCTTCCTTTCAGAGTGGGGCCTGCACAATTAAGAAGACGGTGATATGTGAACTGGGCAATCCCTTCAAAAGGAACCAGAAGGTGAGTTGTTTCTGATTTGGACGCTTTGGAAAGACTGAGGCTCCATTATGCAGGACTCATCAATGGGATCTTCTGCTTATTCCTCAGGACCCCCTTATCCCTTTAACCATAAAGTTTTTAAAAATTAGTAAGCACCTACAGCAAATGAATGTATTTTTTAAATTATTGTAAATATTATTTACTAGATTAGATCAATATCCTGGTTTTTAATTCAAATCCTCAGGGTTGAAATCAGTCTACTTTTTTTGCAATTGGTATTTGACGGCCATTGGTAAATATTGCCAATGGGGAAAGAAGAAATTCTACATTCAATGTTATCAACATCTGTGCATTGAACACTGAACTTTTTATTGGCAAATTCACTGTAGTGATAGAACATTCTATTTGATAATTCTTGATAAAAAGAGTTGCTCACGCTCTTTTTCAACATGAATTGATAAGAGTAGGAACTGGCACTGAATAAGAATTTATTTATCCAGACTAAGATTTGTCTTGAAAGGACAATAGTCCAGGCTTGAGGTTACCAGAATAAGAGTCACCAAAGTCAGATTTTGCTCTTCCAGGCAGTGATGCATCTATTTTATCAGCTGATGCTGATAAAAAGTCTTCTTGCCACAGATGTTTATGTAGCTAACCAGTGGCAGCCCAGTGGACCCCAGATTACAAATGCAACAAAGGTATGTCACCCAAATCCTAACAAACTACTGTACAATCTTGCTTCTCTTCCAGGCAGAGCTGATTATCACATTTGAAATTAGTGGGATTACCTTGAATACCCAGAATATCACTGTCCAGGTTCAGCCTTCCACGTGAGTCTTGTCCTCTTATCAGTAGTTGTACCTAATGAGTTCAAGAAATGGTTTCTGTATTGAGTTAAGATAGTTCCTCTCCTATCACTATCTAGAACAGCCTTGTCCAGTCTGGTGCTTTTGATCCAGAGGGCTGGGATTGCAACTCTTAGAATTCCTAGGCACAGGTTGGGAAGCCTGATCTAAAATAAGGGTTCAAATATATGGCTTCTAAGTTCATGTCCCAAGAAAAAGTAACTGGTGAAAATCGCTTACTGAGACATCCTAAGAGGAGCAAAGTGTGGAATTGGGTGTACTGGCATTACCTGTCTTTCTCTCTCCACTGGGAAATTTGGAGGAAGGAGTAGCAGGACATGGCATTAAATCTCCAATTCAGTTAATCATTTGCAAGTTCTGAAGGAGAAGGTAAGACACCCCTACACACACACACGCATGCACACCCAGACGCACACACTGAAACCAGTTGATCTTAGATCAGCAAATCCAAGAGAAGACAGTCACAGAATAGAATGCATCACTTTGGAATGTTTTTTGTATTAAAAGGGAGGAAAAGTATTTCTTATAAATTATGACTTTGTTAAGAAGATTAACATAGGAAGGAGAAATGTTCTACCTTTCTATTGTCAGGAAAGCTGTTGCTGTTGTGCTTCGTTTTGCTTAAGCAAAACCAACAAAGTACATTAACCTATAGTTTACCTGTGCTTTGTACTTGTAGTTTAAAGTACCTGTAGTTTACCTGTACTTTGTACAAGTACTTTAAACTACAGGTACAAAGTAGAGGTAAACTTTGTTTAAACTACAAGTACTAAAAAAAAATAGTCCACTTTATTTTCTCAGGTCTGTAGATACGATTACAGTAACTGCATGTGTAGGACAGGCTTTGGTGGCAGAAAGTAAGTGGTCTGTCTGTAATTATGAACCACTTCTGCCGTAATGCTGGGTTTTTCTAATATATAAAGTTTGCAGGTGAACCACACCAGCACTGGTGTTTTTTTTAATTTCTCCTATTACACCAGGTAATAAAAGAAGCCTCAAAATAGCAACACTAATTCCAACTGATGGGAAGAGGAGCCACTGTGTGGACTCCTCCCTTGTGGATTCGAACCTCTAAGGCAATTACAGTGATGACAAAAGGAGTAACAACATAGTAGTTGATGTTCTGTGGGAGGGTCATTTTAAAAATAATCTGATAGACCTTTTGACTATTGTATTTTGTACAGGATAAGCTCTCAAGAAGATCTCCAACTAGCAACAGCAGTTTTGTTAGTGGACTACACAATTGATGCATCGCTAAGCATGTGCGTATCTTCTGAAATTTTTGACATGGGTTAAAAAAGGAAAATTCTGGGAATGGGGATTTCATTGCCATACAAAATGCTGTGCCAAAATGTGATGAATGTTGTGTTTGCATGTCTCTCTTCATAAAGGAAACCTAGCCTTTGAGTATAGCTGGGCTTCTAGACCATCCTTCCCCAACATTGGCATTCTTTGGATGTATTACAGCTGCAGCTTTCAGACTTCCCAGCTAGAATGGACAAAGGGAGGGAATCCAGAGAGTTCCAATACTAACACATTTGGAGGGGAAGAAATTTTCCTTTCCTTTTCCTACTTCCTTATGTTACTGAATAACTCAGGATGCTGCCAAGAAACTATGACCTGTTTAGTGTGTTAAAACAGCCCAATCCCTTGTAAATCTCTCTCTTCCAACTTCTCTGTTTTTCCTCATGGTAGACTCAACCGATGGCTCCAGTCATATTTTAGTGGGAAAGTCATGGGAGAATCAGCCATGAAACATGAACAAGATGTTGGCAGTCCCATTGAGTTGGACTTCCAGGTACGTGTCTACTTGGAGAGGTAAGACTAGTTTTGCCAAAGACTGTAGGTTCTGATTTTTTATAGTCAGAACTCTATTTAGACAGATTTACTTGATTAGGTTCCCATCATGACAAAGTTGGACAAGGGTTTTTGGCTTCAAATTGTCCAATACTTATTTATTTAGACAGGTCCACCTATGGCATTCAGCACATTGGGCAATGATTGCTCTCCACCTATTTCAATCAGACCTCATTAAATTGCATCCTTTGTTTCAGTAGCAGTTACTTTTTTTTTTTTTTTAACAGTTAGTAGCCCAACATCCAATCTCACTCCTTTGTCATCTGGGCTTAGGAGCAATAGTGGCTGAGTCTAATTGTCTAATAGCAGCAAGTAAATAATGTCCCTCCTAAATCAGGCTACTGAAAAAGAAGGCTTGAGGAGAAGATCAGGAATAAATTTTTGAAAGAAGTTGTGAGCTTAATTTTAGTACCAATCACAAAAAACTCTGAGATAGATAGAGAGATATGAGAATGACTGAAAATCCCACTTCATTTACAGTTAAAATTCTGTCCCTTTCCAACCCTCTTATTCTTGTTTGAAGGGGTGGGAATAAAGAATAACTAAAGCACTTTTCCTTTAAGCACTTCTTCCTTCCCGCTGTTATACAAATTACCAGTATGTGTAATCAGTTGAAGTTTTTGATAAGGACTAGCATGGGACTAGAGTGCTTAACCCCGTTCCTTTTTGCTATTTTGCTAGTCACGGCACACTCTGTTACTTTTCTCTCTCTTACGGAAAATGTATGAGAAAACAGCTGAATGGAAAAATAACTGGCATGAAACGTCTTAAGCAGGCTGTGCTCAGAATTGCCACCTCTTGGGCTGGTTTGCATCTGATGATGAAAGTCAGTGGAAAGGTGCATGCAAGACACAACATTCCTATTTTCAGCCTAATCATGAACAGTTACCAAAAAACCCCAAGTAGTCAGTATAATCTTTGATGGGATCTGGCTCGATCCTGTTACTCTCTGTCATTGAATCTAAGTTTTGTAAATGTCAAGATTAAATAATTTTCCACAAAATTATAAAACATTCTGCCTTCCGTGCATTTACAGTACCTAAGTTTGTCTTAGTAAGAAGGGTTCCTTTGATGGCTTCAGTTTCTTCAACTGCCTTTCATTTTTTCCATGATCAGAACTGAAGTGTGAAATAGATTATCAACATGTCATTTTTGTTGTTGTTTGATTAAGGTGACTACAAAGAGTGAGTCTTTAAGTTCTCTGGGAACCATCATATTAGGCTTTGAATGGCCTTATGAAGCCAGCAGTGGAAAATGGCTGTTGTACCCCACCGAAATCCTGGTAAAAGGGAATGGAACCTGGCACTGTGAACCGTCTGGGCAGGTCATCAACCCCCTCAACCTCACTGTGAGTCTAGTGTCTATTCCCAGCCTCTTCTCCTTTTTGCTCTATTTCCACTTAATATAAATGTGTATATTCTGAGATGAACTGCTTGGCCTCCCATCTAGGGATATCAGTATCTGATTCATGTAGAGCTGCCAAGTTTGCTTTGAATAGTATGCTGTGTGAGGAATTCCTAGCTAGTATTGCCAACAATTGGGAGTTCTTGAAGTTGCATTCTCAAGATATTTAGGGGAGACTGAAAATGAAGGTTCTTGTTTGCCTATTTTATTTGGCTTTGTGTGAACTTGGTACAATATTTTAAAAATTAGACATTTTATGATTAAGATTGTTATATACCTAGTCTGTTCCTCAGGTGGAACTAACAGAATTGCAATTAATGAACTTTTTCTGGTATACTTAAGGATACAGGATAGGATCTTAGCCAAAAAAAAAAAAAAAAAGAAGTCCACAATATCAGCAAAAGGAACACACACAACACTTTTACTACTTCTTGACATTCAGGGGCAGAATAACAGCCAGTATCTATCTCTTCCTTTTCAGCAAATAGATCACAGCATTTCCCCAGCACGGAGAAAGCGTGAGTTGCAGGCATCTCCAAAGGCTGAACTTCCCATCACCTTGGCAGCTTCAAAGAAAGCCAGATCAGAAACTGCACTGGTAACATTTCATCATTACAGATATTCTTTCCTTTGTCAAGAGCCTCTCCAGGCCACTTAGTATTGTTCTATACCAGTGTTTTTCAACCTCAGTAACTTTAAGATGTGTGGGATTTGAAGTCCATGCATCTTAAAGTTGCCGAGATTGAGAAACACTGCTCTATGCTGTCCCAACCTGGGACCAGGTATAATAGCCCCTATCCTTTTGAATGGCTGTGTTTGGGGAGGGGGGAGAGGGCAGGTTGTGTGTGTGTTTCAGGTGAAAAGATAAAGTCACCCTCAAATCGAGCAATTTGTGGTAACCACATGAACATGTCCATGTATTTTTCTTAGTAAAATTCTGATATTTGTTTGCTTTCTTTCAGAAATCTTTTTGACTAAGGAACAGTATAGTAGGAATTAAATCTAGATACCATTTTTTACCATTGAAACTAGGTCCACCTATATTTCAGAGAACCCATAGATTGATCCCAGTCCGTCCAGATCTTAAGAGCAGAGATGGGCAATTTCATGGGCTTTAAGGGCAACAACTCACTCTCCTGAATATCTAGCAAGCTGCAGGAGCCTTTCAGGTGCCACCGAAAGGGACAAGATAGAACTATTTCAACCTGTATCTTGTTAATTTTGAGAGGTTTTATGGGTGGGGATAATCAAGGTTTGCCTCCAGAGGCTCCCATTCCTATTCCTACCCTTATTTTAATGTTTTTTACACAAAAATGGCAACATCATCAACATGTGGCTATTTTGTTGACAAATTTCTGCCCTTTTTTCAGGGGCTTGGAGGGGGAATGGGAGCAATTCTCTTAGGGGTCTCCTTCTTACTTAGATTTTTTTCCCCCATGTTTTTTAATGCCAGCATTGCACCCCTGAAATGTTGCCCCCAAATGTTGGTGTTGCATTCTTGGGCTGCTTTGAGAATACGACGTTGCCCATGCCTGTTTTCAAATGCCATTTTAAAAGGAAGGAATTAAACATTCTTCTGACTGTATGTTATACCAACCCCCCTTCTAATATGTCACCGGTGATTCTTTCCCCTCCCTCACTCCATTTTCCTTTCCAGAGCTGTTCCAAAGGAACGTCTCATTGCATCTGGTTTGAATGCCCCCTGTGGGATATCGGAGCAGTGACAAACGTGAAGGTCCGAGCACGGGTTTGGAACAGTACCTTCATTGAGGTGAGTGCTCTTTACTTCTTCCGCTCCCATTTAGTGGCACATTGGTTACACTGGTGAGTTGGGTGCGAATGCTTTTCTGCAGTTGGGGGCTATGTTGCCATTTCTGTTGGGCAGCTAAGGACTACTAAGGCACTAATGTAGTCATGGTACCAAAGGGGGCAAGAATTGTTTTTCCAGGGTGGTGGGATTTACTTATTTTATAAATTAATTAGGCTTATTGTCTATTTTCTTTTTTTCCTACAAAGAAGGCAGTTTGAGACTGCAGGGGGTGCCTTATTCATAGGTTATCTTCCCCAAAGCATAGTGTCAGAGAAGGATTAAGGATGTTCACTTCCCCCTCTCAGCCATGAAGCTCCCTACTTCTTGGGCTGAGCATTCTCTCTCACTCGAGCCTACCTCATAGGATTGATGTGGAAATAAAATGGGGAGGGGGACCCATGTCCAGCACTCTGGACAAAGAATAGGATAAAAGCTAAAACATAAGAATAATAGTCTACCTGTGTATGTGTGTAAGAGACAGAGAGTATGTATATGAATGTTTATTCTCTTGCATGATAAGGCATACGTAACATTAATACAGATTATTTTAGCTTTTGTCAACGTTTCCCTTTTCAGGTGTGTTAGAATACAGCTCCCTCACTCCCCACCTCATAGGGAATTGTAGTCCATTATATCTGTAGGGGGGTTAGGTTGGGGAAGCTTATCATAAAAGAAAAGAGTCATAGCTTCAGGGAAATATTGCTTCCAGGTTACTGATCATCATTTGGAGGGTTTTAAACAGCAAGTTTAGCTATCTAGTATGAGCCTCAAGGGCTGGAATGACAACTTTTTCTTTAGTGCCTAGAAACTTTAGGGATAAAATATTTCATGGTTTACTTTTCACCTTAATTTTTAGGATTAGAAATTTCATTCTGGTCTAACAAAAGATACAATCATGAATTTAAAATTTAAAGTATTCAAGTGGGCTTGAACAGATTAATTTCTCACCAGATTTTATACTTGCATAACTTTCTTGTTTGAAAAATAGTTTCAGGCCATCTTAATTTTGTTTTGATTTTTACTTAACTCTGATTAAATAATGCAGATAATTTTACGTTCCTACAATTAAAGCATGCATTATTCTGCTTTTTATTGTAGCAGTAACAGCAAGGAGAGAAAATGAGTGACTTTTGTTAATTCAGTGAGTTATGTCTCTGAGGATTGTCAGTTTGGATTAGTCTCTCTTTTAGACTAGGTTACATTGAATATGATAAATCTTGTCCATGGCAAATATTAGTTCCAATAAATTTAAATTGCAACAAAATATTCTCACAGTTTCCTCTTAAATAAGGATTTTCTATACCTCTTTCACTAATATGCACATAGATTAGTAGCATGACTCTGTATAATATATCATTATTATAAATGTATTAATTGCCCACATTTTCTACAGATCTCTCTCTCTCTCTCTCTCTCTCACTCTCTCACACACACACACACACACACACACACACACACACATTTCAAAGTTAACTGGATAGATAGAAGTTGCTTTTAACCCATATACTGATTACTATAGGATTACAACAACTTTGATCGTGTCAAGGTAGATGGACAAGCGACACTCTTCCTCAGGACAAACTCCTCTACAATCAACATGAAAAATCACACAGTGTGGGTGAGTAAAAGGATGAAGTAACTTTAGGAAATCATTAAGATCTTACTGATTCCAGCTTATACACTCTTTTCCCCAGGCCTGGCCCATCCAGTTAATGAAATGATGCAGCTGCTTTGGGCTAGCTTGCACCATTTACCCTCTGAAGGGGCCTCTTTATCACAGCCAAGCCCAGCAGTTCTTCGGGGTAGCTCATGGTCCTGGCCGGCTGTTCTGTAAGCATAACTCTGCAATGGCTTGAAAGTGACACGTTGACTGGATGAGCACAATGCAGTTAATCAGCCAGTTAAAGATGTATTGGCTGCATTTGTACAACATGCTCAATGTTGTTAAGTTTACTCTTTTTGGTGGTGGTAGTGGTAGTTTCTCATATTATGCAAAGCCTGCCTGATTGGTTAGTTTATAGTTCAGTGTATTATATGGATCCAGAAAACAGGTTAAGTGATGCACACCGTGTAAGACTAGCCAGTGTGGAATGCTGTAGCCATTGCGGCCAACTCCCAGTAAATCACACTCAGGGCCCCTTCAAAGGGATGTTGAGAGAGGGAATGAAAGTACTGCCACGAGGGAAGGTATGTATGGGAGGAAACGGCATGGATTGAGGATGGAGGCGTAGCAGATCCTTTCTCCATCCCTTGCCCTCTGCATTCCCCCTCCCACCATAATTACCGAACCCTAGCAATTCTTCTGGAATTTGTTTTCAGATCAGGCTGATTCCTTGTTCTCTTCACTGACTTGGGCCTAGTTCTGCCATGCTTCTGCAGACTGATGAAATCATTTGACCCATAAGCAAGACCTCCATTGGGGGTTGGAAGGGGAGTCCCTTGAATCCTGTCCTCTTGATTTGTCAGGGCAAGCTAGGCAGTTGTCAGGTTCCCTCAGAGTATGGCACAAAACTGCTTCCAAGCTTGCAGCCTCTTGATCTGATAGTCTACATTTGGAAAGAGAACAGCTGTTCTGCCATGTTTGTATAAAACTCTTGGTTTCAGTGTGACTCACTTAATACTCACCCACTCAGCCTTCTTGCCCTGGCTTGAAGATGCCCTACTTACCATTTTTTGAAAGCCAGAACTGCCTTCTCATTTCCAGCCTGCAGCAGAGGCAGGCTGAAGCTGGTCCAAGATGCTCTGGCTGGAAAGTCACATTTTCCCTGGGAAAAAGGAAGATAACTTGCCTTACAGACATCCTAGGTTGCATGGAGGCAGCATCTTCAGTGGTTGGCAACCTGTGGGGCTCCAATTGGGCTGCTGCAGGACTACCTTCCCATCCAGCTGCTGAGCTCTGTGCCTCCAGAGCCATTAGTGCCTTGGCTTCCAGAGAGAGCAGAACCTCACCCAAAATTCAGCCCAACCCAGCTTGGTTCACCTCTCCTCTCCTCTGAGGTGGTCAGAGGAACATCAACCTTATGGTAGACCAAATGCAAGCCTTCCACTTGGTCAATATTCCCATTGGGATCATCATAAGTCCCTCTTGTTCAGCCCCATCATAACTTTAAACAGTCACTGAACGAGTGGACATTAAATGTGGACTACCTGTAATGATAAGAATAATGATAAGCAAGTCAAGAAATTACACTGGATTGCTTCAATCAGCATTGCTATTTTTCTGTGAATGCTTTTCAGCAGTCTCCAAGGAGTGTGGCCATTTGAGCTGACCAAAATAGATGGAATAAAATAATAATAACAACAACAATAATAACAATTTTGTTTTTTATTGTGAAATACAACTCAGTGAGATAGCTGCTTCCCTTGACCCCCTGTTCTGTTTATCTCAACAACCACCCCTCAGATACTTCCTCCTGGCTAAGAGAGAGGACCATGATGGTGGTAACCCCTCTTCACAGTTCCCAGAACACCTTCATGTCAACTCTTCCACCCCTTCCCCATCACAGGCCACTGTTTTTCTCTCTGTCCTCTGCCCTTGGCCCACTCTGGTCAATTACAACAATTGGAAAATACAGGCCTGCTTGCAATCTATTGAAACTAGTGATGGCATGTGGAGTTAACCCCTTTGCTGCTGCTATTGTTTCTCTCTCTGCAAGCTGACCAATGGCTGTCCTGAAAGTAACCAAGATTACTTTCTGTAAAGGCAGTAACCTTATAAGCTTTATTCCCGAGGTATAGTAAATGCTAGGCTGTTGGAGTGGGGTCTTTTTTTTTAATGACCTACTTTCCTTCTGTCTAAAGGATGGGAGGAAAGCACATCCACATGGCTGTGTGGATGCACCCTTAGTAAGGTATTAGCATGTTCAAGTCCTTTTAATTTGTTTCCAAGAGAGTGGGAGCAGGATATTGTTCCTGAACTCCCATCTCAGCATCTATGTCAGTGTTTCTCAACCTTGGCAGCTTGAAGATGTGTGGACTTCAACTCCCAGAATTCCCCAACCAGCCATGGCTGG